ACCACCTTAAAGAGCCCTCACAATTAGCAAAAAAGGTAAAAGCAAACTTTAAAATTTTATTGAAATTAAACTTGTGAATTACAAAAGGGGTGGTGACATCCTTATGTAGATTTTCATCCACTTATTCTACTACAAAACGAATTACATAGTTCTAATCAAACTTTTAATCCTACTTGAAAAAGAAATATAATTTTCTAATTGAATACTTAATCCAAATTCAATTAGAAAACTAAAACTTAATAAAATTTAAAGACTTTAATTAAAAGATAAGGCTTTCTCTTCTTTTGGGTGACATGTGGACTCCCATTCAGCTTTAAGTAATCTACTTATTCTCGATTTTAGATTCTTTTAATTTGAATAATATTTGTTATAACATTCAATTATAAGTTAAAAGTTTCTTATTATCTTGTAGTAGAATTCATAAAAGAGAAATTCAGTGAAAAGAAAAACTCATTTTTTTCGTATTTAGAATCATATCAATAAATATGTGATAAATTTTAATAGTTAAAGTGTTCTATATTTGAGTAAGAATGTCAAATATCACTATCGGATTAAACATATTAATGTAAGATACTAATGAATTTATGAAGCGGTGAAAAATCAATGAATGTCGTTGAAAAAGATTTTCACTAATAAAAATCGGTCTTACATGTTAGACAAAAGTGCTAATTCATCAATATTGCACTAAAAAGGTGAGACTAAATAACTATTAAATGATAGATGCGTGAAAATTTCTCCATGGATTAGAGGGAGAGATTGTTAGTTCTATCCCATCACCATCAAGAAGAAGGAAGAGTAGAAAAAGTTATAAATACAATTAGAAAAAATATGTCTGTGATCTCTTGATAATTTTTAGCGGTGGGGTAAAAATTAAGTTGTAGAATTTTTGGAAGATTTTCTAAGCTAGAAAATTGATCTTCACGGCCTTCTCTCATCTATATATATATATATATATAAGTCTTGAAGCGGAGAATAGCAAGCAGTGAAGAGAAGAAAGCAACAGAAAAAAGAAAAGAGAGAGTGTATGAGTGCGAGAAAAGAAGAGAGAAGAAAACAGTGAAGTGAGAGTCCAAGAAAAAGAGAGAGATTATATATACATACATGTATATATATATATATATATCTTGTGGCCGTCTGGAAAGAAGAGAAATAAGGGGGGCTTTCATTTTGTTTTTTTATTCTCATTACCATTTCAAGCCCACCAAAGTCAAAAAACGTGCCATATTTTTTATTTTGATTCCCTCTCTCTCTCTCCTCACATAACACAGCCAGAGAAATTAGTTAATTTTTCCTATTTTCTTACTTATTCTCGAAAATTGTCTTATACCTATTTATAAATATGGCGGACTTGATTCGTTCCTAACATAAAAGATTCTGTTTTTGTTTTGTTTATCATTATTATTATTTTAATTTACATAATTAATTATTTTATAATTGAAACCTAATATAAATGACATTTAATTATTAAAATTTATAAATCATTACTTAAAAATATTATTATTAAAAATTAACATGCATTAAATATCATAAACTTTCTCTCCATCATATTATCGCCCTCAAAATCCGAAGATGGAAGATATGGAATCTTGACAGGTGACAAATGGATTAATTATCTTAAACTTTCTTCTTGCGAATATCACGATTTACTGCAGGTTTTTGATAGGATATGTTTACAATAAATATAATAAAAAATTGTTTGAACTTATAAATTTCTACCTCATTTTATTAAATACAATATAAATTTTGTTAAATAATTGATGACAATTAACATGTCCACATCTATTTCATCACATGTGGAAGAACCATTACGCGTGCCCAAATCTTTCCTCTATCTGGCTGGCGCATGTCACCAATCTTGTTTTTCTCTCTCTAAAAAATTAAGTTTGAGTAATTGAAAATGGTAAAAATTAACTGTGAAGGGGGGCTGGAACTCAATTTAATTGAATTTTCCATTATATATACACACACACACACACGAGTTGGTGCTTATCAAGTTTGTGTTTGTCTCTTGAGGAGCACTACTTTCATCATCTTCTTGAACAGGCACGCTTGTTGGTCAGAAAACACACTCAGCACAAGGCATAGGTTCGATGGTTCCGTTCACAATCCCAGCATGGCTTCCCCTCTTGCTGCTGCCCTGCACTCTTCTGGTACTGATGAAGAAAGTGATGGAATCAAAGAAGCAGCATCCTCCAGGCCCTCCAGGGCTCCCTCTCATTGGTAATATGCACCAACTTGGCGCACTTGTTCATCAATCTCTGTGGCAGATGTCAAAGAAATACGGCCCTTTAATCCGATTGAAGCTTGGAAGTGTACCTTTAGTCGTCGTGTCCTCAGCGGAAACTGCAAGACAGATTCTTAAAATTCACGACATCGAGACTTGCAGCCGACCCGAATTGTTAGCCACAGGCAGTTTCTCTTACAATTTTCTCGATATAGCTTTTGCTCCTTATGGCGAATACTGGAAGGAGTTGCGCAAGATTAGCAATAACGAGCTTTTCAGCAACAAAAGAGTCCAGTCGTTTCGGTTCATCAGAGAAGAAGAGGTTGCTTCACTCGTTCAAACACTCTCTCAATCTGCTGCTTCCAAATCCCTTGTGGATATAAAAGAGTTGTTGTTTTCCCTCTCAACGAATGTGATTTGGAGGGTCGCGTTTGGAGAAAGCTTTGAGGAGAACAAATGGGAGAGCCGCGTGTTTCAAGTGAAGCTCAAAGAGGCGATATCGCTTCTGGGAACCTTCTCCGCTTCTGATTTATTTCCTTATGTTGGATGGATTATTGATAGGCTCACGGGTCTGCATGGTAGGCTCCAGAAGAGCGTGCAGGAAATGGATGTTTTTCTGCAAGAGATAATCGAGAAGCATGAGGGAAAGAAGGTAGGAGAAGGGAAGGAGGACATTGTTGATGTTCTCTTAAAGATAGAGGAGCTGCAGAATGAACAAGGATCTGTTACTCTTTCCAGAAATCATATCAAAGCAATCCTCAAGGTATATATATGGCCTTTTTTCTGATCCCATCCGCTTAAACTTACATAATATTAGTAATTTTTATCAGTGAATATATATACTCAGCCTGGAACTTGTACTTAATTACCATTTTAACCTACTCTTGTGTCAGGATGTATTTGCGGCTGGAATTGAAAGTACGGGAATAACCATGGTGTGGGCGTTAACAGAGCTTATGAGGAGCCCAAGAGTGATGAAGAAAATACAAGCTGAGATTAGAGATGTCATGGGAAACAAAGGAAAAGTCAACGAAGATGATATTGAAAAACTTGTATACCTAAACATGGTGGTGAAAGAGACCTGGAGACTTCACCCACCAGCTCCGCTTCTAATTCCAAGAGAGGTCATGTCACCATTTAAGGTCAACGGTTATAAGATATATCCAAAGACCAGACTCCATGTTAACGTCTGGGCCATCGGACGAGATCCCAAGATTTGGAAGGACCCAGAAGAGTTTTTGCCAGAGAGATTTGCAGGAAGCTCGATTGATTTCAAAGGTCAGCACTTCGAGTTTTTGCCATTTGGTGGAGGACGCAGAGCTTGTCCGGGTATAAACATGGGAAGCACATTGGTGGAGCTTACACTTGCAAATCTTTTATATCGTTTTGATTGGAAATTACCAAATGGGATGAGCAAGGAAGATATAAACATAGACGAAGCTCCTGGTATCAGTATCCACAAGAAGATCCCTCTTCAGGTTGTTCCTGCCGCCTATATCTGATCTTCCCAACGTATGTATATGTTCCTGAATCTGCACTGCAGAATTAATTTGTGTGGTCTTTCATTTGCCTACTTCCTTGAATGTGTCGTTTATCAATAAATATTGATTTGGTTTTATTTTAATTCAAACATCATAACTTATTTTTTTTTCTCATCTCACATAAAAAAAGCAATTATTTTTATATATGTTAAAGATTTTTAGTTTTCTTCTAATTGAATTTGGACATATTTACTTATGCCTTGAACTTATATACATATTTTTGCTTATTACCTTCTAGCTATCTAGGTTTCAGATTCATGAACTGCTATATCACTAATTTGGCACAAATCTGAAATTCCGACGATTTGAAAGATAAATAGCAACAACCAACATCTCACAGACAAGAACAAACTGTACAATAAAGATAGTACAAATTTGTGAAAACTGTCGCATATGCCATGGCAATGACAGGTATCATAAAGCTAGAGCCACTATTAATTTTTGACGGATTAAACAGTTGCGACAGTTGTCATTAGAAAAAATTTAAATCCATCGCAAAATCCTTTCCTGATTTTAAGCTATATTGCAAGAATGGTACCTTGAAACGAAAAACAAAATTTTAAAAATTGTCAAGAGTCTGCCACAAAAATATTATTGAAAAAAATAAAAGAGTATAAAAAATATGCAGCAAAAGCTAAATTTATTTGGTTTAATTAAAAATATTAATTTATTCATCTGTAAATATTTAAAAACACATTATTTTATTATTATAATGAATTAAAATTTATTTAAATTATTTAAGTTAAATTTAATAGTTAAAATATTTAGTTGAATATAATATTCAATAATTAATATAATTAAAAATATTTTTTAATTATACAAAACGAGTCAGATTAACTAAAGATCCTAACATGCTAATTCTCATTGTCCTCGTTTTCAATTTATGTTGGCCTTGAAGGATCCTGAATTTGAGTTGAAGTAGATTATACCGGTATATTAATTTTCATCTTCAAGAAGGTTTCTGACTGCTCCCACTAGAAAATACTATTAGGTAAATTAAATCTTACAACTAAATTATTCAAAAATTATGTCCTACAACTAAATAAAATCAAATTTTAATGGTAATGCCAAAAAATTTATCGAGATCTTATTCACATTATTATTGTTCATTTATGAATGGAAGATGATCATTTTATCCTTGTGATATCATTATCCATAGGCATATATACAATCGGGTTTACAAAAGAAGAAAAAAAAACACAATAAATGCTTCATAATTGCATAATTAATTTTGATAATACTCAAATATAAGAGTTTATCTTAACATCCCCATAAGTTGATGACCATGTAGAACAAAATCACATATTGTCTCGTAATGTGATGAACATAGGCTTTGATAGAGGTTTGATAAAAATGTCAAAAAATATGATCTTTAGTGGGGATTATACGAACATGTAATTATTTTTGTAAGACTTATTCACAAGTAAAATAATAACCAATTTTAATATGTTTTGTTCATACACGAAAAACTAGATTAAAAGTCAAATCTATGACACCAGTAATAACATTAGTTATAGTTTTATATTCATTTTTAATTGATGATTGAGAAATATAATAGTTGATTAGTTTTTTATTTTTTTATTTATAAGAAATTGAGATTTAGAACTTAGATAATTGGCGAAGCAATTTGTAGATCTATGATTACAAGATATTAAGTTCACATTAGAGTAACATTAAAAAAGTAACGATGAAGGCACAAATTGAAGATAATAGTTTAACATTTGCTTAATATGATTGAGAAGTCTTTTCATAATTGTCTAGTATTAACTAGTTAGTTGATATCTAGTTTGTTAAAGATTAACTAGTTTGTTGTTTAGTAACTAAGTGTTAGTAGTTAACTGGTTGTTAGTTGGTTAATTTACAATTGTTGTTAACTCCTGTTATGCTGTTAAAAGTTGTGTGCATGTGTATAAATAGTAATTAAAAAGACAGAATTTAACTCTATTATCGATATCATATAAAATTAAAAAAAAAAAAATTTAGCTCTCTCTGCTTTTGTACATGGTATCAGAGTGGGTGAGTGACTCACGAGATAGCAAGGAATCAAAATCAAGGTAACCACGACACAATCGGAAAAGCCTCAATAATGAATCTGTCAAATGAGAGTCCGAGGATTTCACTGGTTTCAGTCCCTTTTAATGGAGGAAATTACTGTACTTGTAGTAAATCGTTGAAGATAGTGCTGGCTACTAAGCACAAATTAAGGATCATAAATGGTAAAATCAAAATGCCACCGGAGGAATCTACGAATTACGAAGGCTGGTTCGCCAACAATGCAGGAGTCATTTCATGGATTATGAACTCACTTGCAAAGGAGCTCAAGGACTCGTTCTTGTACGTGAATTCAGCTCAAGAGTGTTGAAATGTAATTTAAAGTTTGAATGAGTCTTTCTCTTATCTGTTAGTTTTCTAGATTTAAGCAAGTTTCTTTTACAGTTCCAAATAAGTAGCCGAGTAGTGGGATTAGTTATGGGATTTGATGATGGTTTTTTTAGCTATGTTTATTTTATGTAAGCCTATATATAGAGACTCTTTTTGCTTGTTTTATATAGACTGGAATCAGAAGAAAAGGCTTACAAGTTCTGCTACGTTTGCTTTTCCTACTCTGGTTTTTTTTTGCTTTGATCTTTTTCCATCAAATCTGGTATCAGAGCTAGGCTCTGGTCCTTTGGCCAATTGAGTAAAAGGTTTTGGGGAGTGTAGGGAAACACGAGAGAAAGTGCAGAGAATGGCAGCAAACATTTTTTCATCATCCTCACAGCCGCTCATACCGATTTCCACAGGTGAAAAGTGTGAGTTTTTGAGTATTAAGATGAAGACTCTTTTCAAGTCTTAGGATCTTTGAAATTTGGTCGAATATGATTTAGTGGATTTAGAAGACCCAGATGAAGAGGCAGAAGAAAGATTGAAAGAAACCAAAAAGAAGGATGCCAAAGCTTTATTCCTAATTCAACAAGCTGTCCATGAAACAATTTTCTCAAGAATTGCAACAGTAGCAACATCTTTGGAGGCTTGGAAAATTTTGAAGGAGTTCCAAAGCTCCTCGAAGGTAATCACGGTAAAGTTGCAAACATACCGTCGTGAATTTGAAACTCTGTCTATGAAAAGTGATGAATCTGTTCAAGCTTATTTGTCTAGAGTTTCTTCTCTGGTTAATCAAATGAAGTCGTATGGTGAAGTTATTTACGAAGAAACGGTTGTTGCAAAAGTATTAAGGAGTCTTACTCCTAAATTGAACATATTATTGCTGCTATTGAGGAAGCCCATGATTTATCAAATTATTAATTTGATGAGCTAATGAGTTCCTTACAAGTTCATGAAGACAGATTGCTCAGGTCATATGAAAACAATGAAGAAAAAGCCTTTCAAGTGAAGGGGGAGATGTATGAAAATGCTGCTGGATGTGGCAGTGGTAGTGGCAGTGGCAGAGGTGGCTTTCATGAAAAAGGTCGAGGAAAAGGTGCAGGCAGAAGCGCATCTAATGAAGAGAGGCAAAGGAAGATCTTTAAATGTTACTACTGTAACAAACCAGGTCATAGAGAGGCTTATTGTATGAAAAAACAAAAAGATGAAAACAACCAAGCAAGTTTTGCAGAGGAACCAAATGAAGAAAGTAAGTTGTTCATGACTCTTTTTTGTGAGAGAGAACAGTCTAACAATGTTTGGTTTTTGGACAACGATTGTTCTAACCATATGTCTGGAACAAAATCATTATTTAAGAAACTTGATGAGTCCGATAAAACAGATGTGACACTAGGAGACAGCAAAAAGATTCGAGTTGAAGGCAAACGTAACATAAGCATTAAACTAGTCAAGGGAATGCTAAGATTTTACAAGATGTGATGCTTGTTCCTAATTTATCTCATAATTTGCTTAGCATTGGGCAATTAATGATTAGTGGATACTCAATTATATTTGACGATGATTGTTGCACTATTAGAGATAAGAAATCTGGGCAAATCACTGCTAAAGTTCCGATGGCTAAAAATAAAATGTTTCCGCTAGAAGTTTCAGTGATTGAGAATTGTGCTATGGTTGCTAGTGGTGATAGTGAGACTCGATTGTGGCATTTACATTATGGGCACTTAAATATTAACGGGTTCAAATTTTTGAGTCAAAAGGAAATGATTTTTGGTTTGCCAAAACTTGAGAATCTTGGTTTTTGTGAAGGTTGTGTTTATGGAAAACAAAGTAAAAAGTCTTTTCCCGTATGAAAGGCCTAGAGAGCCTCTAATTGCCTTGAGTTAGTGCATGCAGACTTGTGTGGGCCTATGAATATAAAATTTCTTGGTGGTAGTCGATATTTTCTGCTTTTTACAGATGATTATAGCCGCATGAGTTGGGTTTATTTTTTAGAAAGCAACTTTAAAGCTTTTGACATATTTAAGAAGTTTAAAGCACTTGTAGAAAAAATAAAGATCTTTTAATAAAGACATTGTGAACATATAGAAGAGGTGAATTTGTTTCAATTGATTTTAATACTTTTTTGTGAGGAAAATGGAATTCGCAGGGAGCTTGCAGTGCCATACATACCACAACAAAACGGTATAGCTGAAAGAAAGAACAGACCAGTAGTGGAGATGGCCAGAAGTATGATACAAGCAAAAGGTCTTCCTTTTTATTTTTGGGCAGAAGCTGTTACAACAGTGGTGTATATTCTCAATTTGTCTCCTACAAAAGTTGTTCGTAATCAAACACCTGTTGAGGCTTGGACAGGTAGAAAACCAACGGTAAGCCACTTAAAAGTTTTTGGATGTATAACTTATGCTTTAGTTAAGACCCATTCTAGAAAATTTGATGAAAAATCTGAAAAGTATATTTTGTCGGTTACTCTACTCACAATCCAAAGCATTTAAGCTCTATAACCCCACTAGTGGCAAGATCACCATTAGTAGAGATGTATACTTTTTAGATTTTTCATCAAATTTTCTAGAATGGGTTTTAACCAAAGCATATTAGTA